CCCCCCCCCCCCCCCCCCCCCCCCCCCCGCTGCTCCGAACCGAAGTCTCACCAGGCTTCATGGCGTCCATGACCGCGAAGGCCATGTCTCGTACGGCTTCGAAGATCATCTTCTGGTCGGCCGTGAACTTTCCGTTAGCGGGGAACGAGCACGTGATGTCGCTGGCGTAGCAGTGGTACTCGCCGCCCATGTCTAGGAGAAGCATGTCGTTGTCTCTGCCAAGGAAGGAGGGGGGGTAGTTGGGGCTGTAAACATCGAGAAGAGAAAGGTCTCGGGCACGCTTGAATAAAAGTGAACACGTTCGAAATCGAATGCCTCCTGATATTGCTATCACACACGCCCACACGCTTACGACTTGTCGGAGTCGGAGGCACACACGCCCTTACTTACCGCCGCTTGAACTATAACTCCCACACCAAGTACTTCGGACTCACCGAACACAAAAGCTACGTCGGCAGTCGGCATTCGCAGCGCCCCTCCCCACAGACCAAGCGCAACCACATTCACCCACCCTCTACCTTCGGCGCCCCCCCGGCGTCGGCATGAGTCACAAACGGTTCACGTGTTGGGTATTTGCACCGCACGCCAATCGGCACAACTGAGGTGCGCGTACGAAACCTTTGACCACTACGAAGGAGAAAAAGGTTTTTGCCTTGCGCTGACCGTGCTGCCGTTGGACAGTCCCAAAACGAACATGCGAACGCATAGCAAAAAAAGAAAAAGACACGGAGCGTGCCGAATTCGCCACCAACTCCAACACCTGCTTCCAGCCAACATGGCCGCGAGGCTTCCTTCCAAAACACACACACACACACACACACATAAACACTGGCGTGTGCAGTTTTCTTCTGTTGCTACCGTTTCTGTCTTTGATCCAGAGAATAAGTTAGTCTCCCCCACGCCGCCCCCTCACGGGGTCCCAAGTGAATGGCTTTTAGAAGTGTTTTGCGTTTTCAACCGCACTTAGACTGACGTCTTTCATTGGTCAGCCGGTTAGCGCGGTCGATGCTAATAACAATACTAAAAAAAACACACACACCTTGACCAATGTGCCACCCCCCCTCACCCGATCGTGCGGTCGTTCGGCGCCCCCGCGTGGCCGTAGTGGAGGACCGCGCTGTTCGGCCCGCAGCCGCAGATGCTGGTGTACGCGGTGTGGCGGCACCCGCCGTTGTAGTAGACCCAGTGCCGGAACATGCTCTCCAGCTGGTACTCGCGCATGCCGGGCCTCGTGCGCCGCATGACCTTCATTGAGGGGGGTTCCGAACATGGGGGTGTGGGTGCGTAAAAACTTGTGCGAGTTGTATGCATACGGTTATTTTGTCTGCCTGAAGGTCTTGGTAGCGTTGTTTTTTTTCTTTCCACGCGTCATTCTTTTTAGACACACACACCTGTTACTCGAGCACATAGCGCCTCGCTGGTTGTCCGTAGACGTTATTCCGAACGGGACATGGACATACACAGAGCAG